GCAGCTGGAGTGGATGCTCACTGGAATATAACGCTGACGGTGAGAGGCGGCGCGAGGAACAGGGCTGAATCCCACCACTCCGCGCGATACTTTGCATTTGCGGGCCATATCCGACCCGTGGGCCATAGTTTGAGGGACAGTGCTCTAATTGTTGCCATAAGTGAACTTCATAGCGTGTCTGATAATGAAGTTCAGCTTTCTTCGCTTATGTGTAAATTACAAAAAGCTCAATGGCATTTGCGTGGAAAAACGTGTACCCCTTACCCCTCATGAAGGACATGTTAGCTCACTTGACAAAGGGAAAGTTTTTCACAAAATTGGATTTAAGGGAGGCATACTACAGAATCCGCATAAAGGCAGGGGATGAGTGGAAGACCGCTTTCAACTGCCCTCTGGGGGTGCTTCCAGTTTAGAGTACTCCCATTCGGGAGTACTGCAAGGGGCACCAGCCATTTTTATGCAGTTGATTAATGATCACTGGAGGTCCAATTCACCTCCCTCTTCTGGAAGTAGTTCCTGAAGTTAATAGGCTTTGCCCAGGGTCTAAGCTCCGCCCACCATCTGCAGACGAATGGGGCTTGTGAAGGGCTAACTCAATTCTAGAGCAGTATCTTAGATGCTATGTCAATTATCAACAAGATAATTGGGCTGACCTCTTGCCTTATGCAGAGGTAGCGTACAACAATTCGGTACATAGCAGTACTGGATTGACTGAGGGCTCCCATCAGTCCCAGCCAATCTGACTCAGCATGATAGGGACCTGAAATCTAACACATATGCAAAAAATGCAGAAATAGTTGATTCCTGCACGACAATCCTGATCCTGTTTTTATACTTTTTCCTCTCTTTTTCCTGTATAAAACTCGTGTCGTAAATGGTGACCATCCTCAATCCTCAATCACACCCTGAAACTTTCTAAATCTGTCACTCCCAGGTATGTAGATGCTGCTAGTGCACTGGAACAGGAAACAAAATGTGGGTTGCGCCGTTTTGAAGTGTGCGACAACGTTGATCTGGAGACCATTTTGATGGAGTATGAAAGCTACTACTACGTCAAGTTCCAAAAGTACCCCAAGATTACCAGGAAAGTTGTCGACACCAGTACGTTGCGTTGCTCAGAAAGAACTTTTTGTGTTTTAAATGTTGTCGCTGCCACTAATACTTAATGCCTCTTCCCTCCCAACCTCCACCTGCAAAGGAACCCTGTTTAAAAGTGAGAATGGTTTGCCACTGAATTTCATACTTCTTGAATATTGGCCTCTCTACATGGTGGAGCAGGAACACATATCGGTGTGGCTCATTTTATTTATTTATTTATTTGATTTTTAACCCAACTTTATCACTCAAAGCGGTGAATGTACATACTCCTTCCTCTTCCTTTTTTTTGCCACCACAACAACCCTGTGAGGTGGGTTGGACTGAGAAAGAGTGACTGTCCCAAAGTCACCCAGCAGGCTTTCATGCCTAAGGGGAGGGGGGCACTAGAACTTACTGTCTCCTGATGATTGTCCCAAAGTCACCCAGCTGCTTTCATTCCCAATATCATACTAGAACTCAGAAGCTCCTGGTGATCAGCCCAAAGTCATCCAGCCGGCTTTCATGCCTAAGGCAGGACTAGAACTCCCAAGCTCTTGGTGATTAGCTCAAAGTCACCCAGCCAGTTTACATGCCAAATAAAAGACGAGAATTGTCTTTCATTTTCAAGGGACCTTGAAGATCATCTAATCAAATATTTCCCTATTATAAGATGTATGGACTTCAACTTCCAGGATCCTTAGCAATGGCCATGTTGGCTGTGGAATTCTGGCACTCGAAGTCCATACGTGCTAAGTTTGGGAAACACTGACTTAATTGAACTCCTTTCCTGTCAGCTGCCTTGCATTTGTGTTTGCTTTGGGCAAGATAACTGTGCAACAGGTTCTTTCCGGATTTTTACTGCATACAGTCCAAGTTCCTTGGAATATTCATCTGGAATAAATGTTGGCCTTTCTCCTTCTAAATTCCTGTAGGTATGATGTTCAATAAACCAGAAACCCACATTTTGTTTCCTGTTCCAGTGCACTAGCAGCATCTACATACCTGGGAGTGA